CACAGCCTGGTAACTTTCACTAAGCAAAATCCACATGTGCCAGGGCCTGAGTGATGGGTCACTTCAGAGAGAACTGGAGGTGTGCCTGTCCCCAAGGAGCTCAGGACGGCAGGAGACGGTCCTGTGTTGGCTTTGGCAGAGGTGGGCATGCAGGGCTCACAGCAACTGTGTCAGAGCCTGCATGAAGTCTAGGGGATGCCTCTAAGAGGCAGGCACAGAGGTAAGGTCATGAGGTCACAGGAGGGAAGCACAGTCCTTCTGAGGCAGGAGAGGAGCTGGGATGACAGGGACAGGAGGGAGGGAGGGGCAGGGCCTGGGCCTAAAGTTCAGCAGGGACAGCAGAAGAGAGAAGGCGGGAAGGACTGATTTGGGAAAGAATCCAGGTATTATCCTGAAAGCCTGTGCATCCTCTATGGTGCTCTGCATCAGTCAGACTGTGGCCAGGATAAGGCTGAGAGGCCCGGGGGGCCACTGCCTGTGCTGAAGGGAGGCCAAGGTCTGAGCATGGTGTGGACATGGATGGACCCAAGTGCCCATGTGAGAAGGTCAGCAGTGGTCTCGAGGGAGGGGCTGGGGTGGCCCTTGCCGGGACCACTGGTGCTGTCCATGGCAGAGATGGTAGAGAGGGGTCACGTGGGAGGAACTGGGGAAAGACAAAGAGCTTGGCTGGGGCAGGCTGGGTTGAGAAGATAGCAGGGAGGCTCTGGCAGGTTCAGCAGGCCTCCAGCAACATGGGCTACCCCATAGGCAGACAGGGAAGTGGCCAGAGGGTGGCAATCAGGGCATGTGCCACTGGAGAGAAGGAGGCAGGAAAGGACAGGGCAGGGGCACCTCGGTTCTGTAAGGAGAGGTGGTGGGTGCTGCAGCAGGCTGGGGGTAGGCACTGAGAGGCCCTGGACTGCTAAGAGCAGTGGCCAGCCAGGCAGAAGAGGGACAGAGAAGCTGAAGTGTGCATGCTATTCTGGGAACGCCAAGGAGGTAGCTGGAGGATGGTGAGGGAGACGGGGTCCTCCCGAGGCTGCTCAGAGTTACCTTGCCCTGGTAGGGGTAGGTGTCCTCGCCCATGATGCCCTTGTTGTACAGGATGTACTCGAAGGCCTGGCTAGGGAGACCCCTGCAAGAAGCACACACAGGTGAGCTCACTTGGGACTGTCCTGACAGAGGTGGGGCCTGCAGCTGGCCAGATGTCTGTCCTGGCCTGCTGATGTCTTGGTTGGGCATGTCTCACTGGGTCTCTGAGAGGCTGGCAACATGGTCCCATTTGCCTGGCCTCAAGATAAAACTCAGTAAAGGTAGGTGAGGCCACTGAGTCCAAGGACCAGCCAAACGTGCCTCAGTGGGACAGAAGCTTCTCAAAACCAGGCCTCCTGTCAGGAGGAGCAGGCAGGCCCACAGGACGGCCTATGATATCTGGCCAGAGCACCGTCATTGCCACTGCCCTGGGCATCTGCCCAGGCTGGTGCTCCTCAAAAACAACAGCCTGGCTCTCTCGTCAACCTTTCTTAGCAGATGCTACTATTTCTTGAGGCAGAGGCTGAACAACTTGCCCAGGGCTGTGTAGCTGAGCTGGTAAGTGGCTTTAAAGGTGGATTTATTTCAGGGCAGTGCCTGTGATTCAAAAGGGTAAGGTGCTGGTCCCATATGCCAAAGGTGGCAGATTCAAACCTAGCCTTAGCCAAAAAAAAAAAAAAAAAAAAAAAAAAAGGTGGATGTATTTCTACATCATACTGCTTCCCAGCACTCCCACCCATCCCTGCTTTTTTCTTTCTCCATAGCTTGGCAGGACCTGGCATATTCCTGTCTGGCCAGCTAGAGGCCAGGCCCCTGAGAGCCACTGGGCAGGGTCCCCCAGGGCCCACACGTATGGTGGGTGCCCTGTGCTCTCAGCTACACGCACAAAAGGAAGTTCTGTCCTGGGCCACAGCAAACAGGCAGAAACAGGATTGGCCCCGGGATGCCCAGGCATTAGACTTGTGCTGTGGATGGTGTTTCTAAGCTGCTGAGGTAAAAGAAACCAAGTGAGGGGAGACTGAGTGGGATGGCAGGTCCAGAAGCGGGCTGACTTCACACTGGAACCTGCATGGGGGGGTCGGAGGACAAGCACAGACAGGGAAGGAATACACCGCAGGCAGATGGGAGTGCTCAAGGTTGGGATGCTGCGGGCCTGGCACTGTGCACATCACATGCCAGGAAAGCCCAGTAATCCTATAGGGCTGTGGACAAAGGGGTGAGGGCCAGACTCATGGCAGAAATGGGAGCAAATTCCTAGCAGCCCACTCTAAGAGGGGCTGGCAAGGCAGCTGGCTCTACCATGTGGATGAGGATGCTCCTGCCAGGGCTTGCCCAGTGGGACAGCTGGGACTTCAGACAGCCTGAGTGCAGGCCAGGTGGTACCTGAGCATGCATCTTGTGGGGTGATACGTAACGATGAGTTTCTGACTCTGTTCACTCTTTCAGCTGCTCACCCAGAGGCCTTGGTGGAGGGGCAAGTAGGGCCAGGGGTCCAGTGGGAAGGGAACTGATTTTGGAACCAGACAAGCCTGGCCTCAGTTTCCAGCTCTGCTGTGTCTTGGCTGACAGACCCAGCTGTGTGAGGTGACACCTCCCCCAGCCCACCCTGCTCTGCAGATAGAGACCATTTTGCTACCACCCAGGGCAGTGGTGGGGCTGTGGTAGATACTGATGGAAGTGACCAATGTCCATGAAAGGGGGTTTCAGGCCCTCCTGGTCAAGGACATACCCTTGGCAGCCATGGTTGTTGAAGTCCTTGGCGCAGTCCACCAGCTGCTGTTCTGCCTAAAGGAGGGACACAAACCCAGTGAGCCAGAGGCCAGGAGGCCCCTGGAAGCACTGGCACCAGGCGCTGCATCCCTCTGGCTGAGCCTGCTGTGGCCCTATCAGTGCTGGGTCAAGGTGACCAGATTCCAACCCCTGCAGGGGGGAGGGGCTCAGTGGACAGGGTCAGCCAGCAAGCAGGCGGGAGGGCGCTGCTGGCCCTGAGGCCTGCCCTGCAGGTGTGCACATACAGGGAGGGTAGAGGGGCCACATAGTGGTGTAACATAGTGGGAAACAGGCCTAGCCAGGGACTCTGCCCCTTCCCTAACCCACAGCCTCACCAGCCTTGCCCCACACAGAGGTGGGGTTGGGACAGCTCCTTCAGAGGCCATTGCCTCTCCTGGGGGTCAGGGAGGGAATGGCTCTTCCATAGCCACCTAGGAATGAGCCCTTGGTCTGTTTCCTCAATAACCCTCAATCATTTCTGGGAAAAGCATCCAGTGAGCTTCTCATGCAAATATCCACAAGGTGGGTACACATGTTGCCCACTTAAGCAGTACCATCAGCCGAAGCCCCAAGGCAGGCTGAAGGCTCAGGCCCTGCCCGGCTGGCCGGTGGGTATGGATGGGCTGCGCTCTGCAGGAGGTGGCTTCTTACCAAAGACAGCATCTTCCCACCTGCGATGGCCACCGCGGACTCCAGAGCCCCAGTGGTGGAGAAAGTCCAGCAACTACCACAGCTGCCCTACAGAGGCAACAGAGGACAGGGAAGTCGGTAATGGGCACACCTCAAGCAGCTTTGCTGTGCACTTTCCTCACTGACCTTGTGAGGACCCTGAGTCCCGGAATGCCCTCACAGTTTGCAGAGGCCGGTTCCAGGTCTGTTCACTCTGAGTCCCACACACCCGAGAGGCTGCGTCCTGCTCCCCTCCAGGCAGCTGTGCCCCCGTTAGCCCCTGCCATAACTTCCTGCTGGTCAGTCCCACTATCCCACCAGGCCTGGAGCCCTCCAACTCAGTGAGGGTTGTTGGGCTCTCCTCCTCTCCAATCTTTTCCTGGCTTCTCTTCTCCCTGCTATTCCCCAGCAGAAAGATTCCCCAGCGTTCTATTTCTAGAGCACTTTCACTCACCATTCCACCACCAATCTCATTCTGCCCTCACGCCCTTGGCTCCACATCTGCCCTCACCATGAAGGCTCAGGCGTGACACTGACCGCCAGAGGTCCCTCCCTCAGACTCGGGGGTCCTGCCCGTCCACTCCCTCACTTCTGCCACGATCACTGCTGCTGCCTGGCCCCATGTCCAGGCACTTCCCGGATAGCACTGGGGCTTGGTGGGGGGTGGACCCTGCCTGCCTGGTTCAAATCCTAGCTCTGCCACACACTAGCCGGTGACTTGGGCACGTTACTCCCCCTCTCGAAGCCTCAGTTTCATCATGTGTAAAATGGGAACGACAAGGGGACTCTGCCTGCCCAGCAGTCACCCCACAGGCACCATGCCAGCTGCTGTTACGATTCCTCTCAGGGTCATCTTTGTCTTCTCTTCTTGCTGGCTCAATACTCTCAAATGTCCCTTAACCTCCCCTTCCTGCTGTCCCCACCACTGCCAGCTTTAGTCTCACTGCTTGTCTGCCTCGAAAGAGCCTTCACGCTGCCCTCCTCCCCATTTTCTTCCCCTCAAATCCCTCCCCAGCCTCCCAGGAAGACTCAGCCAGAGGGCCCCCGAGATGGTCAGGAGGCAGGAGTGGCCACGTGGGGAGTCCATGGTCCTACCATAGGAGCCCAGCAGGGCCAAGCCTTGGGCACTGGACTTGGAATAGGGACTTGGCTTTAAGTCCCCTCTGCCACCTGCTTACTTGGCAAGTCACATTCCCTCTCAGATTCCCCCTCTGTAAGGTAAGAAACCTTTAAGGGGCTGCTGTGTATACTCACCTAGAGGCCACAGTGAGATGCCATGCATACCTCACCCCTGCCCCCATATCCCAGATTGCAGGTTCCATCTGATGGCCAAGATCAGATAATAGGATAGCTTGGAAAATTCTTGGTGGCCCTCCCTTCCCACCTGTCCAAATGGTGAGCAGTTTTAGGTTCCCACATTGAACACTAGTTGCTTTGGATTGTTCTCAAAGGGTCTCCAAGCTCTTCCACCCCACTTCCTGCTGCCAGGGAAGATTTGCTTTGGCAGCTGGATGCTAATTAAACATCCAGATCCCCTGACCAGCTCCAGGAAGGATTTGAAGCTGCATATAACTTTTAGAAAGTGAAGCAATGCTTCTCATAGTTTCAGTGGAAAGGAAGGAAACCTTAACCTTATAGTGCCTGAAATGGAGAGGTCAGAATCTTTCTGGAGAAGGCCACTGCACTGTCCCTGCTAGGGGAGGGGTCACAGGAGGCAGAGCCAACTCCAGCAAGGGGTGGGGTGGGGTCCACCTCTCCAGACCAGAGTATGTGCTAAGACCCTGTGCCCCACAGAGAGTGACTAACCATCCTCAGCTTCCATTGTGGTGGGGACAGCAGTGCCCTGTGCCTGGCCAAGTCCACAGTACCCTGCCCCACTGAGAAGGCGGCCTCTGTGAGGTCACTCACTGACCACAGGGAGGCAGCCAGCAGGGAAGGGACTGGATGCTGGTGGCTTGAAGAGAGGAAGGAGGATAAGAAGAGATGTGCAGGCAGCAGGAATGGAGGGTTCCCCTGTGTCTGGGCACGGGGGACCTGTTGGTGACTGCAGGAGAGACCTAGAACCAGTGGGGAAACCTGGGTGTGTGGGGTTGGTAGGGGGAGGGAATAAACTTGAGCCCGATAAGGTTTTTCATCCTCCAGAGCAGGCCACAGACAGAATGACCACCCTGGCCTTTCAGAGAAAGACAGCTGGAGAGACGATGAGGGGAGAACAGGGGTGGGGATATGCTTGCAGTAGTTCTGTCCGTTTTCTGAGTTATTATTTTTTTTCTTCTTGGCATATTGTCTGGGAATATAGCTTTTTTGGGGAGACAGGATGGGGACTACCCATGCATACCTGATTTTTCACTGGTGACACAAAATTTCCTTTTTTCCGCCAGTCCACAAAAGTTGGGTAGGGACCAGTACCCCGAAGGTAGTTACTTTTGGTGGCTGAGCAATTCTGGAACAACCAAACATGTTATTTTCAGGGGGAAAAAATCCCCCAAAGCTTTTCTAACCAAAAAAGTATAAAAATGCAATCACCAAGAGAGAATGAGCAAAATTATAGATGTCAGAACCATCCCTCTCCTGTCTACTGGTCCCAGTGCTAAACGACACACCCCTTTTAGAGCCTCAGTGGTGGCAGGGGCAGTTAGGATACAGTAGTCAAACTCAGCAAATAAAAATAAAAATATAGCTCACCCAATTCAATTTGAATTCCAAGTAAATAATAACTTTGTAGTATATCTCATGCAATATTTAGGATATATATATATTTTAAACTTATTATTATTATTATTATTATTATTTTTGCAGTTTTTGGCCGGGGCTGGGTTTGAACCCGCCACCTCTGGCATATGGGGCTAGTGCCCTACTCCTCTAAGCCACAGGCACTGCCCCGTATTTAGGATATATTTACACTAAAAAATTATTTCATGTTTACCTGAAATTCCACTTTAACTGAGCATCTATATTTTAAATCTGGTAATCCTAAGGGTCCACACTGTTAAGGCCATGGGCCTGGACTGAGGGATTGTGAAGAGCTAACCCTTGGGGCTCCCCCAAAGAATCTGGGGGCACTTCTTGCTGCAGCTGGGGATGGAACTGAACATGTGTCAAAGCAGAGTAGCCTACAAGTCTATTCCAAAGGTTTCAGTTAAATAGATTTGGATTTGATCACAATGAATTATACCTACCTGAGGCTCTGACCAAAGATATTTGCGTTTGATTTCAGCAAAGTTCATGTCTGAAAATTGGTTCAGTGCCACTGAATAAAGAGAAGGAAAAAAAAAAAAAACAAAATAGAGGAGCTTAGTGAACCACTAATTAAAAAGAAAAAAAATGAGACCTTTTTCATCGATGTCCTACTTAGAGCCATTGCAACTTGGCTCCTTTAAATGTTTATATTGACTATAATTTAGCACACTAAGGCCAGCCCGCACTGTGCTTCTGCAAGGCCTGGGCGCTTTCAAACAGTACAGATGTCTGGATGGTACTCCAGATGTGTGGTGTAGCTGGTCCAGATGTGGCCTGCACACTCACTGTTTTTTATTTTTTTTTAGAGACAGAGTCTTATTTCATTGCCCTCGGTAGAGTGCTATAGCATCACAGCTCACAGCAACCTCCAACTCCTGGGCTTAGGCAATTCTCTTGCCTCAGCCTCCCGAGTAGCTGGGACCACAGGTGCCTGCCACAATGCCCGGCTATTTTTTGTTTTAGTTTGGCCCAGGCCAGGTTTGAACCTGCCACCCTCGATATATGGGGCTGGCGCCCTACCCATTGACCAGAGGTGCCGCCCAACACACTCACTGTTTTATTAGACACCCCATTGGTGGGTGATGTCCAGGTAGGGAGCCACTGCCCCTGTGCCCAGGACCCTCCCACCTCCTGCCCCCTTCAGTCTTCAAGCAGCCCGAGGGGGGCATTATCATCGCCTCCCTACAACCTAGGTCAACTCCCCCAGAGATCAAACACTTGTACTGGGCAGAAATGGAGTTTAAACCCAGGTCTCCTTCAGTTCGTACTTGCTGCCTTTACTCCCAACTCATTTGAACTGCCAACATTTCTGAGACCTCAGCAACACATCAATGTATTTGGGAGGGACTGCTCTAGGGAACTGTGGCCAGAATGAAGAACATGTGGCTGCTGGAAAGTCAGCCAAGATCCTAAATGGCCTTGGTGAAGACACCTGAGACTCTGCTGCTGTTGGGTCAAGTTTATGGCAAAAATCACCACTTTTGAAAAGCATACACACTGGTATTCTAGTGTAGTTTCTAGCGTAACTAATCTGGAGTGAAGGCAAGTGTCCCAGAGGCTGCTCATGAGTGCAGAGCAAGTCTGAAGAGGCACCGCCCAGCAGCATCTGGGCCTGACCCTTCCAACCCCTGGGCTCAAGCGAGTCTCCTGCCTCTGCCTCCCAAGTAGCTGGGACCACAGGTGCCCACCACAACGCCTGGCTATTTTTTTTTTTTTT